CCATCTTCTTCCACTGGTGACATGAGGCCCGGGTCAGGGCGCCGGCGACAGCTGGACAGGCAGGGAGACGGGGGAGGCCGGCTGCGGGCTGAGGCTGGGCCGCGGCTGAAGACACAGGGTGCAGCCGTCCAGGCCAGAGAAGTCGACGGAGAAGAGTCCAAAGAGCCAGAACAGCAGCATGGCCGTGGCCCACTCGCAGGCGGCAGACGCGGAGCGCAGCTGCTGGGAGTGGAGGACCACCACTTCACGCCTGCGTCAAGGGCCACGTGGCTACCCAGAAGGACCCAGGAGCCCGCTGGGTTGCTGTGTGACCTCGGGCTGGGCTGAGGCCGTCTCTGGGTGTCGTCTCCTGCCCCACTGGCTGGCCACCATTCAGCTCTCATCTTCCCATATACGTCCTCTCAAACCGATTCTAGCCTTCGTCCCCTATGCTCCCGAAGCCCTATCTGTATCTCAAGCTGTTCCCAAGCACTGTCCTTTGCATGGCATTCCTGATATCCCAAAACAACGTTATCTTCCGCCTACCTTCCCTGACCCGGCGAAGGCTCTGGGCATCTCCCTGCTGGTCCGGAGCAACCAGGTCCGGAGCTGGTCCCAGCTGCCAAAGCTGCCAGCCCCATGCAGGGTTTCCTGAACACGCCTCCCTCTCCGCCAGCCTGCATTTCGCCACTTTCTCCTGAACATACTCCCCCTACCCGTGGCCCACAGGCCCCTCTCGCTCACTCCCAAACAGGACCTAATCTCCCCCTAAATCTGTCCCCACCCTGTGGCAACTCCACCATCCACTCATGCACCCAAGTGACACTTGCCGGCTTCCTCCTCCGCCCCCTTGGCCATCTGGTCAGCCCAGCTCTTGCCCTGTCTGCCTTACCCATCTCTATCCGGCACCCTCCTCTGTATTATTTCTCTCTCCTGGTCTGCCCCGTCCCTTCTCTGGCTGTCCCATCCTAGCTCCTTAAAACCTTTTTCCAAACACCAGCTCACGCAGACTCCAGATCAGCCCAGCAGAGACACCTCTTGTTTCCTGGAACCTCACTCACTGGAGCCCTCCCTCCCCCCAGCCCCTCCCGGGTCAGCTGAGACATTATTTCATTCACTCAAGGATCTCTAAGCTCCTTAGGTGCCAAGCAGTGGGGTATAGACGGCATAGAATGTGGACACCAACCCTGGCCCTGTGCGTCTTGCGGCACAAATCGCTTACTCCCAGGACTAAGCCTGTTCCTCCCCTGCTCACAAGCTTTCTGTGGCTCTCTCTTGCCCGCAGGCAGAAGCCCAAGCCGCTCACCCTCATCTTAGAAATCCCCAGCTCTGGCCCTGCCAGCAGCCTCATTCCTGAGCTGGTCTTTCTGCTTTCTGCACACACCTGCAGGGTCCTCCCAGCCTTCCAACCCTGGCCCAAAGCAGCTCTTCTGCCAAGGCCCGGCTCAAAATCCCACCAGAAGGCCAGGCCCAGTGGCTCACACCTGTAATTCTAGCACTCTGGGAGGCCGAGGCAGGCGGATCTCTTGAGGTCAGGAGTCCGAGACCAGCCTGAGCAAGAGCAAGACCCAATCTCTACTAAAAATAGAAAGAAAATAGCTGGACAACTAAAAATATATAGAAAAAATTAGCCGGGCATGGTGGCGCATGCCTGTAGTCCCAGCTAGTCAGGAGGCTGAGGCAAGAGGATCGCTTGAGCCCAGGAGTTTGAGGTTGCTGTGAGCTAGGCTGACGCCACGGCTCTCTAGCCTGGGCAACAGAGTGAGACTCTATCTCGGAAAAAAGAAAAAAAAATCCCACCAAGTCTCGGACCCACCTTTACAGACTCCAGACCTTGTCGCACCCAGCTGGCTCCTCCCCCTGCCCCCAGCCCAGGCACAACTGAGCCCCAGAGAATGAAGACCCTGCAGCCAAACTGATTACCAGTCCTGTTTTAAAGGTTTGGAAGGGGAGAGGCTGGGTCTTATCACAAATAGGGCCCCTGCAGAGGAGACGGCATGGTTCTCCCCAGCTAGGGCTGCTGAAGGCTGAGCTGAGGGCCTGCCCTCCCCACTGGTGCTGTGGCACTCCAGTTTGTTGCTCTGGGAAGTGGGATGGCTTAGCTGGTTTCCTTCAGGCCTCGGCTTCCCCTCCCATCCTCCCAACAAATAAGAAAGGCCCCAAGGCTGAGTCTGCAGCCCCTCCTCTCAGAGCACTGCACACTCTCCCTATCAGAATTCATCATTAAGATAAAAGCAGCTCCGTTTGATAGATACGGAAACAGGCTCAGAGAGGGACTTAACCCGCCTCTTCTTCGCCTCCTGGTGTGCTGTGCTGCTGCAAAGCATCTGGCTTCTGGGGTGACTCAGAAATGAGCTGGGATTGAGTCTCCACCCAGTGGTGTGCTGGTAAAAGTTTAACAACCGGCTCTGGTTGGTAGCATCTGCCAAGCACCATGGTGTAAATACTAACACCATGGTCATAATGTGACGTCACTGAACATGGAGTTAGGAGGAGCCACACGAACTGCTCTTGGGAGCCTGCACAAGCCACCTGCAGCCCACCACCAACTCCACCAAGGAACTTTGTGACGGGTCCTGGCCCAGAGACTCTCCTGTCTGAACCTGGTTTCTGGCTTGGAGTGGCTGCCCCAAATCGACTGTTATTATTCTGATACCATTCTCCTAATACTTACAGGTCACTCACTCACTGTGTGCCAGGCACAGATCTAAGCACCTCATGTGTATTATCCTATTTATTCCTTGCAACCCTGGGTTCAGCCCTATTATTATCCAAATTTGATAAATGAGGAAACTGAAGCACCAACAGAGAAGTAGGAACCAGTGGAAGTTTCCCCAGCTAGTCTGTGGCAGCGATGGGATTCCAACCTGGGCAACGTGGCCCCAAAGTCAGCACTCTCAACCACAAAGCTTTGGTCCTGTGCAAAGATCAAGGCCTAGAGAAAGGAAGAGACACCCCCCGTGGCACACAGCCAGGCATGGGAGACTGACCCCAAAGAGGAACCGCCAACCCCTGCCCCGGCCCCAGTAAGGATACTGGCCACGATGAGGCCGGTGCAGAGACAGCAGAGGGCCAGGCGGAGTGAGCCAAGCCAGGGGCCCCCAGGCCGGGGCAGGCTCTTCATCCGCCACAGGAGAAGGACCTGCAGCCAGAAGTAGAGGTTGCCCAAGATGAAGGCAAGGAAGGCTCCTGCCAGGTGTGTGGGCTTCTGGTTCTTTTCCTGGGAGGAGAAGGGAAGAGTTGGGAGGAAAACTATGGAAGGGTGAGGGCATGAGGTGGAGGGGCCTTAACCAGCCCAATCGACTGTAATGGAAAACTTGCCATACCCAGTGATGGGCTTATTGATTAGGTACGTCAGCTATTGTCAGCCCGTGAGGGCAGGCATTTGGATTTGTTGTTCACGGCTATAGCCTCAATTCCTACAGCAGTGCTTGGCACGTAGTAGATGCTCAGTAAACATGAGTGGACTAAATTCTGCATTCTCAAAGAGGGAGAGGGCCAGATATTGCCCCCAAGCGGATAAAAATTAATCCTTGGGGGGTGAAAATTCTTAGGCATTACAATGGTTTGTGGCTTACAAATATATAGTATATATTTTGATAAAAA